GTGAGCATGGAAACCTCTTTAGATGCTCAACACAACTTGGGCAGGGTAGCCAAGGCCACCCACTGGCCTGGGGTGCACCTGGGGACCTCCAATGGGTCTGCACCTCCCATCTAGGGAAGAGTGACGGGGAAGGCTGGAAGGGGAACTGTGCCACCCCCTCTGTGGCTCAGCACCATCAGACCCCCAAAGCCCGGGAGCGCCCGTACCTGTAGTTGTGGAACCAGTTGATGACGGTGTTGGTCTTGAGGTTGAGCTGGAAGGAGAGCAGCTCGATGGTCTGCTGGGAGGGGTATGGCTCCAGCTGGTAGGCTTTCTTTAGGGCTTCCTTCTCCTCTGGTGCCAGCACCACCCGCGGCTTCTTGATCTGGAGCAGGCTGAGGTCCTGCGGCGGCGCACTGGGGCTGGCGCACTCGGAGCGGGCGCTGGGGGACTCGCTGTCCGAGCCGGTGCTCATCAGCCCGTAGCGGCGCTTCAGGTAGGCTGCAGGAGAGGACACCCAGCTGGCACCGCTCACCCCCCGGCCCGGGACCCCCCTTGGCCAGCAGCCCACACCCAGCAGGGCCGTGCCACCCTGTCCCTCACCCTTCTTCTCCAGCTTCTTCATGTCACGCAGCTTCTCCACGTTGTGGGGGTCGTTGAGCCAGAGCTGCATCCGGACGAAGGGCTCCCTCCCCTTCAGGCTCAGCTTGTGCCACGGCTTGGGCCTGGAGAGGAGATCGGACACCGAGCCCTGCGTCAGGCCCAGGATGCTCTCCCCAAACAGCCGCTGGCCTGGGGGAGGAGAAGCAGAGGTGGTTTGAGGGGGTGGAGCAGCGGGACGGGCGCCGCAGTCCCCCTGCAAAGCAGGTGCACCCCGTTTCCCAGCCAGCATCCTCCTGGAATTCCCACGAGCACCCACAGAAAAACATCTGGGAGGGGGTCGCATCTACAGGAATTGGGGTGCTGGATCCATGCAGTCTCACCAGCAGCTCCCAAAAAACCTGGGCAGAGAGAGGGTCCGCACCTAAGTTGTTGTCCGTCAAGACCTCCTTGACCTTCTTGGTGATGGAGTAGGTGTCCAGCTCGGGGGACATGGCCACGATCTCCTGGATGCCCACAGGCCCCTGGCTGTTGGGATATGTCTTCCCGCCCAGCGCAGGCACCGAGCGGCTCTCGGGCTGCTGGTTCTCCTTGCTGCTCTCCAAGGCCAGGGTGAGGGGCTCCTGGCAGCCCTTCTCGTGCTCAGCGGGGCTGGGGGGCGGCGAGGGGGACGGCTGGGGTTCCGCAGGGCTGGCTGTGTGAGTCCCGCCGGCGGCTCCAGCCGCCCGGATCCCCCTGCTCCTCCTTCACCTTGACGGGCACGGCGGCACAGGGGGGCTCGCCCCCCAC